CCTGATTATGCATGAACATAAAATCTGTCAAAGTTTGCCGGAAATCAGCTAAAACGGTCACCGTGGAGAGGATTTGACCTCAGCAACACGTGCGCTGCGCGCGGGCTGACTGACTACGATATGTACAACGTACGTGCATGTACATGTACATTGTGGACGTTCTGTGCATGTTTTAAAGTATGTTTTAATGTATTGTAAACCTGAAGTTTTAAGCGTGCGCAGGGCATGTCCGAGTTTGCTTATTGCCTCAAAGCTTTGAAATGTTTTAGACCTACACTTAAATAGACAATTAAAGTAACAACTAATATAAAAACTGCCATGGTTGATTTTTCAGGAATTTTCTAAGGAAAAAGAGTCTTTTCATTATAACTTCCGGTCTGATGACTTCATTCACCTTAAACTTCGCAAACGTCTTAAGTGGGTCAAGGTCATCATATACACCAATATTTAGGCGATTCCGACAAACTTCGCCACAGACATCTATTCAAAATACATTTTTGAAAATGTTCAACCTGTCGCTAGAGGGCGCTCGAAGATTGCATGACGTCATCGGTAGATGATTTGAAGAATACTCTCAGCCAAGAGACTAACACCGTTAAAAGCAAGTTCATATCTATTACCACTTTCAAATAATAAGCCACTTCCGGTTTTGGCCTTTTTCGACCGGAAGCAAGGGTCACGTGATTGCACGCACACTGAATGAAATAAAGACCTCAACCTACTCTACCACTTGCCGGCAACAGAATGCTGCGGACGCGCACGGTTGATTTCTTATGCATTTTTAAAAATTAAAAGTGTCACTATGAAATTGGCTATAAATACACAACGGATGACGTCATCATGACGTCATCATCACACAATGTTGTTTGAATGAGGGTCTTTGCTTGGACAAAGATTGGTGTAAATGAATTACTGGCAAAGAGTTGAAAATGCCCTCTGAAAATCGGCATTTAAAAAAAAAAAATTGTGTACAAAGTCTATGGGAAAAATTAAATATTCAAAATTCTATAATAAATCACGTGATGACGTCAGCATGACAAAAAGTTTCGGCATACATCCTCAGATGATGCTTAATAACTATGCTGAGTTTAGAGTTGATCGGATTTAAAATAATTGCCAAAGTGGCTTGTAGAATAAAAACGTGTACAAAACCTATGGGAAAAGTGGAAAAAGAAAAAAAAAAAAAAAAAAAAAAAAAAAAAAAAAAAAAAAGGAAAAAAAACTAGATGTGGTTGTAACTGAACAACCACAGAGCTGTTCCCAACTTGTTTTTGATTGTCTATTGGATAGTAGAAAATAATGTAATGATTTTTGCAAAAATCTCTAACTTGTAAAATTGAAATTATTATCTTACATAATTGCACTTCCGGTAAAAACCGGAAGTAAAGGTCACGAGACCTTGACATATACATTTTCATTTATAACCCTTCCCGGTCTATATATTTACCAAGTTTCAGATCAATCGGTCAAATAGTTTTATAGTTAAAGGACTATAAAGATTGCCTCATTAAATATTCATGACGTCATAACATGAAAACATTAAACTGCCCATTAATAATAATGCTACATATTTATCCTTTGATGTTGCTTAATACTAATATAAGGTGTCAACCCAATTAAATTTCTAATTCATTAGATATGATAATTAGGGTCTTAAATTAACACTTCCGGTAACACCGGAAGTAGAGGTCACATAACCCGGATATACCAATATTCATGTGTAACACTTCCCAGTCTGTATACCTGCCAGGTTTGAGATCAATCGGTCAAATGGTTGTATAGTTATAGGACTGAAAAAATTGCCTCATTAAATATTCATGACATCATAACATAACAATAATTAAGTGCACAGTATAAAAAATAATGCAATATAATTATTTGTCAATATAGCTTCGTATCAATGTGAAGTTTCAACCCAATCAGATTAATAATTCATGAGATATGATATAGGGGTCTAAAATAACCACTTCCGGTAAAACCGGAAGTGAAGGTCATGTGACCTTGACTTATCAATTTTCATTTATAACACTTCCCTGTCTGTATACCTACCAAATTTGAGATCAATTGGTCAAATAGTTCTATAGTTATAAGGCTGTAAAAATTGAATCTATAAATAGATGTCACGTGACCCCTGATGACGTCACGATGACGAAAAGTTTCGGCATACATCTTTAAAATAGTTCCCAAAGTGGCTTGTAGAATAAAAACGTGTGATATATATTTGAAAATGCATGTGTCCAACTTCCCCTAAAGCAGATCAAAAATGACTGAGACAAGTCTACTTATAGGCGAATGGGGGCGCCATTCACTTTTTACGGTGTGCCGTTATATTTTTTTGGTGACGCGCAGCTGTCCTTATTTTGATCCCATAAAACTTAAGGCTCTGTGCCTTAAGTACAACTATTAAAGTTATGTACTGCCCTCTTTTGGCGAGAATGAAGGGACGTAATGTACATTGAACGACGTTTCAAAGCCACGTGTACGTGCTATACACATTGTGGAAGTCCTGTGCACGTTTTAAAGCTCTCTACCGCAACTTGGGCAAGGGAATTGTTTGCCGACGTCGCGTCAACTGTGTGAACAATTTGACAAGCTGGGAACTTGGCACTGTTGAGGCAAATGTTTATGCTATCATTTAATGGGCGATTCAAGATTATATCTGTACGGATTGATTTTTCAGGAATTTTCTAAGGAAAAAGGGCATTTTCATTATAACTTCCGGTCTGATGACGTCATACGCCTAAAACTTTGCACACGTCTTAAGTGGGTCAAGGTCATCATATACACCAATATTTAGGCGATTCCGACAACCTTCGCCACAGACATCTATTCAAAATACATTTTTGCTAATTTTCAACCTGTCGCTAGAGGGCGCTCGAAGATTGCATGACGTCATGGGTAGATGATTTGAAGAATACTATCAGTCAAGAGACTAACACCGTTAAAAGCAAGTTCATATCTATTACCACTTTTAAATAATAAGCCACTTCCGGTTTTGGCCTTTTTCGACCGGAAGCAAAGGTCACGTGATTTTACGCACACTGAATAAAATAAAGACCTTAACCTATTCTACCACTTGCCGGCAACAGAATGCTGCGGACGCGTACGGTTGATTTCTTATGCATTTTTAAATATTAAAAGTGTCACAATTTAATTGCCTATAAATAAACACCGGATGACGTCATCATGACGTCATCATTACACAATGTTGTTTGAATTAGGGTCTTTGCTTGGACAAAGATTGGTGTAAATAAATAACTGGCAAAGAGTCGAAAATGCCCTCTAAAAATTGACATTTTTTTTAAAATTTCTGTGTACAAAGTCTATGGGAAAAATTAAATATTCAAAACTCTATAATAAATCACGTGATGACGTCAGCATGACGAAAAGTTTCGGCATACATCCTCAGATGATGGTTAATAACTATGCTGAGTTTAAAGTTGATCGGATTTAAAATAATTGCAAAAGTGGCTTGTAGAATAAAAACGTGTACAAAACCTATGGGAAAAGTGGAAAAAGAAAAAAAAAAAAAAAAAAAAAAAAAAAAAAGGAAAAAAAAAAACTTTAACGAAAACAATAGCTGTTCCCAATTGAAATTGGGAACAGCTAAAAACTTTAACGAAAACAATAGCTGTTCCCAATTGAAATTGGGAACAGCTTAAAAAAAAAAGGAAAAAAAAAACTTTAACGAAAACAATAGCTGTTCCCAATTGAAATTGGGAACAGCTAATAAAAACAATTTAAATTGGCATAAAAGAGTAATGAATCAGTCTTAACGGCCGTTTCAAACGTTGCAGAGTCATGACCTTGATGACGCGCAGGTCACAGGTCATGCAAAATCCAACCAATCAGAACGTGAATTCATCAGAGTATCCCAGTGTCCTGTTTGCAGGGCGGGGGGTACGAGCGAACCTGATCTCAACCTCGTCCCCAGTGCTTACTTTTTTTCAAACCTGGTTTCCACTAGTAAGCCCTGGATAGGAAACTTTCTTCCTGTATCCCTACTCGAAACTGCAATTGGCTAATAATGGATTTTTATCGTTTACTTGGTGTTATTTTTCACATTGTGCAGTACGTATTTTCACAATCATTCGTCCACGCCTTCTCGAAAATACTAATTTGATTTCCAATTTGATCATACATGAAATATGATACTGCATGTTGTCTTGATAAGATCGTAACAGTTCGATTTTAAAAATCGTGTTGTCGTAACTCACGCCGTGCTCGCGCTGCGACGAATTGAATCTTTTTTTACCCAAGAAACCGCATACAAAAACAATCGCTAATGTAACGCATATCCAGGCACCAGACTATTCCTCATATGCATACGTGTTCAAAAATCTTGCACTTGCAAATGATTCAATACCAGGGTGAGAGAGCAGTTAGTGATGGGCGCGTACTGTTCGACACCCTGGGGACGAGGTTGGCCTGAACTACAATTTAGATGTGAGCGTCGGGGAAAATTGTAAGGTCTTGGAACCAGACTACCCTTGCAACAGTCTACTACGCATGCGCTTTACAAAGCACGGTTGTAGTACGCAATCGCAAACAACGCCTAAGCTGGCCAGCTAAAATATTTTGGTTGCACGGTACGCGTAAAAATGTTAATTTTCCCGAGCTCAATGATGCCGAACTGGAGAACGTTTATTGACATTAAAGATGTAATGTACAAAAGCAAACTGTCCAACGAACTGAACTAGTGAAGTTGAGCAATAATATTCTTTTGGTGAGCTGGACAACTTTTTTCCGAAGTTTTTCTTTGGTGCACACTGCAACGGGAAACAAATCTGCAACTGAAAATGTGTGAGGTATAGTAAAACAAATATAACATGTTTAATTTTGGGTGGGCAATCGATATTAGCTCCCCTCGGTATTGGAAACGAACTTCCAATACCCCGGGGAGCGAATACCGATTGTCCACCCTCAAAGCATGTTATATTTGTATAATGCCACATTTTGTGATTTTGAATTAGATAATTACTGAAAACATTCGTACTTACAACGCGGTGATTGTTCCCACTCCTCTAAAGGCACGCTCAGATACACGACTGATTAAGTTATTTCGAAAACTACTGTAGAAAACAATATATAATAAAATGCAATTTGAGAAAACATATCATTTGGAGGGAAACAATAGTTGTAATATAAAGAGCATAATTACGATCCGAAGTAACTTATCTCGTAAAGCTGACTCATTATATGGCATGTACACAGATGGCGAAGGCACGATGGCGAAACATACCGATTCATATTAATATTTTCTCGACCTTTCATTGCATTTAAATACACATGTATTCATGCGATTAAGTCTATTTTACTAAAAAGCATTCAGGCTTCGTATTCGTAAAATTATGGGTTTAGAAGGTTAGAGTCTAAAGTTAGGCATAGGGGGCCTACGTATTACATTATCATTTACTTACATTTCAGCCATTTCCCTGGGAGTTTGTTCCCCCAAAGAGTCAATAAACAACTCTGGCGGAATATCTTCCAAATAATTGTAGGACAGATCTCTGAAACCGAAATGAGGGATTCACAGACAAAACATATTAAGCAGAGATGTTTTCAGTCCAGCGAATCTGAATTCAGTGATCAATCACAGGTCAAATCAAAATGCAGGTAAAAAGAATCAGGACTGATTTCCTTTTCTTGCATAATTTTGAGAATAGAAGACTTTTGCCTATGATTGAGCTATGATGACTTGTTGTGGCTAACAAAAAAAAAGGAATTTGTAACTGTTCGACGCACAAACGCTGGGTAAATCACAGTTGGGAAACTCATTTGCCGAACTTTAATGTTACCCCAGTTAATTTAGGTATACTCACCAACCATTTTGTAGAATTTGCGTGAGTAGGCAGCTTGTATATTGACTATTCATTGGGGAAAATATGAACTCATTTGCCTAACTTTTAGTGTAGTTTTTTAGAAAAAACAATGCAATCATTTGTATACATAAATAGTCGATAATGTAAGTTTCGACTTAAGATTTGATTTTAACACCGTGACTGTTGTGTCCATTCTTTACCTGGAGAATGAGGTAACGTTAATCCCGGCTGACAATTATACTCGTCAACGAATTCCATTTTGTTTTCCTCTTAATGACTTTCAAATTGTAAGCCTATGCTTTATTGAAAAAGAGGAGCATTTTCCCCCCTTTTTATAGCCAACCCCATCCAGCTCGGTGGTCGATGGGTAAAAGTCTGCACTAGTGAGCAGGAGGTCGTGGGGTCGAATCCCACCAAAGTATCTTGTGATTTTTTTTTTCTTCTCATAATCAATAGGGACAAGACTGAGTATAAGTCAACAGTGATTATAAAAACGTCGGTGGAGGACAAAACCCAATATCGAATTTTAATGTTTGTATTTTGAGTTGCATACAGATCCACTTGTTTCCGACCACATATTATTAATACTGATAGAGGCGGGAAAAGTCTGAATACGAAATGAATTATCGTTTGGACGCAAATTTTCCTGTACCTAGTCATGTACCAATTTCTTTTTCTTAGATTTCTCATTCAAAAGTGAATCCGTATTCTATCGCTAGATAAATCGAAATATACAAAAAACAAGGGGCCTGGGGGGACGTCTCCTTCCCCCAAGAATTCCCAGTGCGCTGCAGGTCCCCCCCAGTGATTCACTAGATATATGTAATAAGGTAATGAGAAGAGCGTACTCTAGCGTAAAACAAGAGGTCCGGAGGGCCCCCCCCCCCTTCCCGCGTGTGTTTTTTTTCCAACATCTTGCTGGCTAATCGGTGGCTGGAAACAAAAGGGACATTTTGTTGTGGGTCCGCCCTTCGTGCCCCCATAAAATGCTGGTCCCCCCGCCCCCACCCCACCCTCCATTGAAAAGCTTTGTTTTCTGTAAACCTGAAGTTCTAGGGTTAAGAAGTAGTCAGATGCCGAGTAACATAGAAAAGACCGAAGCAGTATTCAAATATTGAATCTACAGTATGTGTTGACAAAAAATAGTTCTACCAAACAAAGAAATGAAAACGACACTACACCACTTTCTGTTACTGCCATGAACTTTTAGTGTCCGATAAAATATTGAGATTTTTCTCCCCGCCCCTATGAAAATTTACTCACGGCCTTTCAACACCAGCAAGTGTATGTGACATGACGCGCTTCAAACTGCTTTCAAATAGCCATCTGTGGGAGGAAGGAAATTAAAAACGTTTGGTTTTTATCGGTCAAAGTTTGCCACTGTCGTTCTAGATATCTGACACATAATTCATCACAATGGTACATGTTGGAATAGGGATATGTTTTGCAGTAATGAACTGGTGTAGATGTATTAATTAATGTCACGAAAAGACTCTCTGCTTGGACAGGTGTCGTGCAGGGGTTCAACTGAGAAGAAATCTAAAGACCAAACGAAATGTACATTCATTATGAAAATATTGCATTATAAAGTGTACAATTATCTTACATTTTACGGCAGCGCAAACCTGCGGTGCTGTTTGGTCCAAGTTCTGTCAAATTGTTGTGCTGAAGTCGTCTTAAAATGGGAAAAATCAAAAAGTAAAAATGTCATATCTAAAACTACATGTACAAAAATAAAGTGGCTTTTGAAAATGGATTTTGTCCTAACCTGTCCCGACCTTCTCTTCATGCTTTTGCGTCTGATCCCCCCCCCCCGCGTCCCGTCCCGTCTCGTCGCCACCCCACCACACCCCATCCCGTCCTGCGCGATCCCGCCGCGTCCTGCCCGTCCCGTCGCAAACTCCCCCTCTCCCCTCCCCTCCCCGTCCCGTCACCTCCCCTTCCAGCTGGTTTCGTCCCGTCCCGTCACATTATTTCTGTCCCCGTCCTGTCCCCTGACCTGACCTGTATACTTACAAGTTATTAAGGTTGTGTGGTCCTGCTAGCCCGTCATGCTCTATTGTAGATATGTTGTTACCGGCTAAGTTTCTAACGACAAAACAAACATGAACTAGAGGTTTATGTCTGTTCAATCAACAGAACATATGGCTTTTTCGCATTGTTGATTGTTGTTGTTGATTGTTGATTGTTGTTGTTGATTGTTGATCGGATGTTGATTGTCTATTGTTGATGTTGATGTTGATTGTTGATATGTCGATTGTTGATGATGTTTCTTGATGTTGATTGTTGATGTTGGTTATTGATGTTGATTGTTGATGATGATTGTTGTTATTAATTGTTAATTGTTGATTTTGATTGTTGATTGTTGATTGTTGATGTTGATGTTGATGTTGATTCTAGATTAGTTGATGGTGATTGTTGATGTTGATGTTGATGTTGATGTTGATGTTGATGTTGATGTTGATTATTGATGTCGATTTTTTGATGATGTTTCTGGATGTTGATTGTTGATGTTGGTTATTGATGTTGATTGTTGATGATGATTGTTGATGTTAATTGTTGATTGTTGATTGTTGATGTTAATTGTTGATTTTTGATTGTTGATTGTTGATTGTTGATTGTTGATGTTGATGTTGATTGATGATGTTGTTGTTATGTTTATATGTTTTCAAATATCGCATTTTTGATGACATCATGATAACGTCACATTCTTATATACTTATTCCCTAACAAAACAAAATACAAAAAAGAGTTCAAAGGTGGGGTCCAGAATGAAACATATGTAAAGTCAATGGGATTTGGGATATAAGAACAAGAAGAAGAAGTAAGAAAAAAAAATCAGAAAAAAAAACAAAGGCTTTTTCGCTGATGGCGAAAAAGCCAATAATAAGCTGCTTAGTTATACTCTGTCATAATCCAAGTGCATACAGGTTAATTGAAATTATAGATGAGAAGAAAACTTGATTCGTTGAAAGTAGGTCTACTTACAGGGTTAATAGCCTGGTGCATCTTTTGAAGGTGCCCGTCTGGATGATTTTTAAATGATTGTTTTGGAAATCCCTGCAAAAGAATCCTTTGAATGTTTATTCAAAGATATGACCCGTGCCATTTCCGTTTCTTTTCAGGAGTTATTCGGCGATCAACTAAAGTTCATTTGTGCAGTGCCCACCAACGAGTCCTGGCAGTTTAAAAGGAAAAAGTCATTATTTGATCAAGATAGACAATCTGTTAATAATTCTTGGTCGCTAGTAAGTTTACTTGAGAAATATATTTCTCAAAAGGCATTTTTGCTCAACTTCTTGCTTTGGGTTTTGTTTGGGGGTTGTCTTTTTGTGGGTCAAAATAGCAAGTGCTGTACATGTTTGCAATATTGATTCTAAACCTTATTCAAATTTCTCTCGAATTAAAGAGTAAGGCCTACGTGGGGGTAATTTCATATAGCATTTGTCTTATAGAATAGCTTTTTCAAATGTCATTAACCAAGTGTTCCTTTTATAAGCATGTAGTGTAGAGCGAAGTGAATCATAAGCAACTGAAGCGGTGCTAGGAAAAGTCAACACATTTTAAACTGTAAGGACAGTTTTTTGATGTGACGACCAGTTTCTTCAATAAAGACGACACTACGCGCATGATACAAAAAAAACACTTCAAAACTTACGCTAAGTTTAGGTGGACTCCGTTTAACACCAATGGTCTAATGTCTTGCAGTTGATTTCCACTAGCAAATCTGAAAACAAATTATCCATTTAAACTTTGATAAATTGGTCTCTATTTAAAGGACAAGAACAAAATTTGCCACTATCTTTATTTGTTTGTTTTGCTTTCTGAAATGTCTCCCGTCTTCCGATTAAAGCAAAAGGACGTAATTTGATGTCTAAAGTCCTGGGATAAAACATAAATTAACAATTCATTTCAACCTTGGTCAAAATGTGTTCCAAATATACTCTGATATCCAGACGAAAAATTGTCGTATAACATCTTTTGTTTCAGTCAATAATATCCAACGAAATTTCTGGGCGTTTTTAATATTCTCTTCAAAGAAGGTTTGTTGGTTATGTTAAAATTAACTTGGAGTGATTGTTACATTTTTAAGAGCGTCCTAAAAATGTTCTATCTCTGCTCTTTATTACTTTATTTTTGTCATGACAAAATCAACTTTAATGCTTTAATATAATAATTCGAGAAAAAAATATAGCTCACAGCCTGATATTCATTTTCATTTAGTGTTGCTTCTGCACAGACCCTGTCTGTGTCCCTGCATTATCGAATATGATATGTTAGGGGATGGTAACCATTATACCCGCTGACACATCTGATCACATGCAGGCCCACCACTACTTGCTAGCTCATCACGGAGTACTATCCGGATGAGGATGGGAAGACTTGCTTCGGGGTTTTGCGATTGTAGTTTAAGAGAAATCTCTAAAATAGCACGCACCTAACATGCATCTTCGAAATACTTACAAGTTTACGACAGACTCCGGTATTTCAAAAGGAATTGTTATGTTGTTCTTCTCCACGTTACTACGGTAAAACGGCAAAGAATGTCCGTTATTATCAGTCCACTCAATGTTTACTTTTTCGTCTATTCAGACGGACCTTGATACCTTCAAGTGCATTTGTTATCCACGTCTCGGCAAATCAGTAAGGTTCATTTGAACAGGGAAAAATGTTCAAGTGCATACTTTGCCCTGCTAACTTTTTTAACCTTGTATCAATATACCCTCAACAATTAAAAAGAGTGAACCATATATCCTTCAAATTTTCGATTTTGTACTTAAACGATTAACTTGGGGGGGGGGGGGTTCATTTGCAGGCCAAATTTTCTTTATTAAAACAAGGGGGGCTTTGCATATTACGCTTGTTTCACGCTCAAGGTCGTGAAATTTCAGCGAAACGCTCATGAAAAAAATCTGTGATGTTGACAAACTAATAGTACATAATGGGCGGTGTAGGGTGAATCTATGAAATACAGACTCATTAGTACAATTGCGCATGCGCAATTGAAGATAATTATGAGAAAACCTATACCGAACGTGGTCAAAAAACAAAACGGGTTTTTTTCATCGAACGTGCAGCAATATCAGAACTCGTTGGACGATTAAAATTGTAACGTGTAGAGCAATTGAAATAGGTTTCTCACTTAACAGTGGTTTAGTAAATGGGCTTTCAATTCATTATTAATTTTGGTGATACATAATTTTTTTTATCCGAAATATAGGTTTTCCCGGCTCAATTTCACGTGAGTTTTGCACATGTGGTCAAATTTTGGGTTCATTCAATTTCATTTTAAGGCAGCCAAGATTTTGCTCTGAATATTCGTTTACGTTTTCGGGCATCCTTAGGGCCTATTCGTTTTTGTGCATTCAAGACTTAATTTGTAGCAGTCTTAAATTAAGTTTTTGCAACCTGTTGACGGTTGACGCATTCAAATTGGCGAACATCTGTGCGCTTATAACGTATGACCATGCTTTTCGTTTCTTATTCGTTTATGGGCAATCGCTTTCATCGTTTGGTCATTTAAATTAGTAAGATGTTTCAATCGATAATTTTTCCAATTTTTCTTCGAGGTTCATTCCCCCCCCCAAAAAAAAAAATCTTGATGACTGTAAAATTTACAATGTTACAAATCAACTGATATGAGGGAAACAGCATGCAACGAAGTAATGAATTGAAAAGGACTAAGATAATTTCTTTTTCACTGTTGATCTTTTCTACTTGTTTAAACGTTTGATCAAGGGGCTTTTTTACGTTGACGATTTCTTGACGTGCAAGACATCGGGACACGTAATATGTTTGAAAATGGTTGTACCGTCGGGAACACTTCTCTTGCGTTATTTATTAAATGTTTTCTTGCGTATGTCTGACCGAACACTTACCATATTCATAGGGCCCATGCAAAGTTTTCAATGCAATACATCTTTGTGTCACATTTAACCTTATTTGCAAGTTTTATTTTCCATTTTGAGGGGTGTTTTTGGTGCCTCCTCCGTTTTTATGCTAATGCAAAGTTTCATATTCATTAGAAAACCTGTGATGGCATTCCGAGCATGATTAATGTTACACGGCTATTTCAGCAAAAAAAAAGTTATAAGATGGAATTTTTGCGTCGGGGTGGTATAAATCAAATTAGGTTCTGCCCTTCACCGACGTTTTTTAAACACTGTAGGCCCTATACTCAGTGTGTTACCTCCCGAGTGAAAGTTGGAAAAAATCACTCGGGTGGGACTCGGGTGGGAAAATCGCTGCTATGAAACTTTTAAATTGTATAATAGTCTGTGCGGTACCCGCTGCTTTGTACATCAGATTCGAACCGGCCAACCGATCCCGTTAGCTCGGTGGTCGAGTGGTAAGACATCTGCACTAGAAAGCAGGAGGTCGTGGGTTCGAGTCCCACCCGAGTGATTTTTTCCAACATTCACTCGGGAGGTAACACACTTATACAGTGTTTAAAAAACGTCGGTGAAGGGCAAAACCTAATTTGAAAAAAAAAGTTGCTAGAATTTTGGATATTTTGCCGTCATAAATTTCTTTTATTTGGTGATAATATGATGTGTCAGTACATGGAAGTAAGCCAATGACCATCCCTTTCCCACAAATGTTTTTAATTAGCAAATTTTGGATGAATAATTTGAAAGAAAAAAACCTAAACTGAACAGTGTCTTCCTGAAATGACATCACAGTAACAGCGTTAGTCCGGAAAAACATGGAAACTTTTAAATGCTGAAAGAAGTGCACATTTGCAATAAGATTAAACCCAGAAAGTGTTGTCAAATGTGTAGTTTTCTTACATTTCACAGAGTGGCGCAAAAAGAATTCCTGAGAAAAATTCATTGCACATTCCCTTTAAGAAAGAAAGTCAATATACGGTTTGAAGTCATCAAATATGATTTACGCTAAGGAATACCGACACGTATGGTATGAAGTCTTAAAAGATGTTTGACAAAATGTGAAACATGTTTGCCCATTAATGAAAACGAATGCCCGATCAACCCCTTACTAATGGTTTAGACGAAATTGAATGAACAACGCGATACTTTTAATATGTGTGCATCTTTGATAGGAACGAGTGAAGCTAAAAGGCGATAGAATGCTCGGATAGTGAATTGAATGATTCTTTCATGATTGTCGAATGCCGATCTGCGTGATCTTTCAATTTCAATCTAAATCGAATGAGCCAGGCGTTAAATTGAATGAAAACTAAGTGAAATTGGCCGGGAAAACCTATATTTTTCTTTGTTTCGGGGTTCCGGCTTTTTTTTACTCGCCCTGTGTAATTGGGAATCAGCGGTTTGCAAAGATACAAGTTAGATTTTTTTCCTGCATCGGGCGAAGGGCAAAATGGGTCGATGTATTTGTTAGTCCCAGTACCTTCAATGCTCCCATGGCGCCTTATCCTACAGTATGGTCAGCACTAATCTCATTCACTGTACGATGGGTATGCTGCTCTGTAACAATGAACGTATACAATGAGCGCAATTGCGCCATGCAATACAATCTGTTTAATGAGAGCTCAACTGTGATTAGAAGCTATTGTGGCGGGAACCCCCCGGGCCAACCCAAGTCTGTTAGGATAAGTCTGACTCCTAGTGGGGTGAAGACAATCTTCCCAAACCAAGGCTCTTCCCTAGACGAGAGATCACTCAGAGCGACCTTTAAGGCTAAGGGTGCAGGTCCGTTTTGGTGGAAATCTACCGCCCGATTATGAATGAGTGTTGATTATTTATCTCTGTTAATTAACTGCACAATAAACCTGTAAACATAAACACCGGAAGCAGAATTGTCGGTAATCTCAAACAACAATAATCAAGTACAACAATAAGAATGTGATTCGGTGGGTTGTTTTATTAACAGGGTCCTTAGTTACTGAAGATAGCCCGCTGCTTGCCTATGCAACAACGCACACAGCATTAAGCACTAGACAACAATGGCAGCAATGAGCAACTGTGCACAGCGCTAGGAATGAATCACCAAGTCAGCAAAACACAGCGTCACAAGCACACAACAGCCGCTTAGCAATGTATACAGTCCGTTAGCAGGGTACTCGCTACGCCGTGTGTGTAAGCCAGGATTCAGCCACACGTACCAGCGCAACCCCGGTACAGCTACACAGACTTTGTACACAAATCGCCTAAGCAATTTCACATAGCAGAGCACAAGTAATTTACCTACTTCCCTGCCCGCTGTCGCAGCTACGCTCTAGCCCGCTACCTCCAGACACTCGGCACTCAACACCCAAAACAGCTGAGCCCCAAACCTAGACACACTAGTGTCTCACCTAACAACGATTATCTTCTAAGCCAAACCGCTAAACTTCCTGATCTGAAAACAGAACTTCTAACCCTCGCGCGCTAATTCCAGGCACGCATTTATATACATGTACCAGACGCTACGTCATGTCTACAAAACATGTGCATGCACTAACCCTATGGTGCGCTAAACCTAGGGGGAAAATTAGCCAATCGCGTACGCGCAGCAGCCCACGGAGCTCGTAAGCTCCGCCCGGTCACTGCACACAAGTGATTAAGCGTTAGTGCTATGGTATGACGTCACAACTAAACACTTTCCGCCACACTATCAACGCCCTTGCAAAGTACTTCAAGAACTCTAAATTTGTAATATCCTGATTTACTTGAGCCTTTCTTTTTGTTTTGTCTGCGCCGTTTCCTTGTACGCACGATCCAATGAATATACGCTTTGCGTGCACTGTGTGTCTGCAGACGAAATCCGTCAAATCAGACCAGGAATAAGTGACTGGCGCGTACAGCTATAGCGACGCAAATCGTCAAGATTTAATCCGAGTACTGGGTGATTGCAGTTGTCATTATGTATGTGTTTTATGTGTTTTACACCGATCACGATCGTCATGCTGAAACTGAAAAAGAAATTACCATATCCATTAAACCTAATGGAGGTGCATTTCAATAGAACATAAATCATTCAATTTGATGCCACATTTTTAGGAATCCGTTCTTTAAACTCGAGTATCGATAGCTAGAAGTCAGTGCAGAAGTATCAATGTCAACACAATACAGGGGATAAGCCCACGTGAGAAAACTAGGACACCACTTCCTAATCGCGCGACGCAATGTTTAAACGTTACTCGGTATCATGTCTACCATTATGTTTGTTTACATCAACATTGTTGCTCAGATGCTCATATTGCTTTATAGGTTTACATGATTAACCCATGTCTATCTCCTATATAGCACACCTTACGAGACCTACACTGCTCATTTCAAATTTACTTAACCTTATACCATCGAAACCTCTGGAAATGAATAACACAACAAAACTTCCTGTTTACTATTGAGGCGAAAAAAATTAAGACTGTTTTCCACATGTTAATCTCCAATATTAGCTTATTGTCGACTATTTCCCTGTAGCAAGAAAACATCATTGATGCCCAAAGGAGGTATGGAACGAATATCGTTCGCGTTAAATATACAATCTAGTTTTGGAAATTCAATCGGTTTGTAAAAAATAAACGCTCTATTTTTTCCCCCAAAAAAATTCAAGTGCATTCTGATTACGAAAAAAAAAACGTTAAAGATAAAACACGTTCGAGTAGGCCTGGGCCTATAAACAATACTTTCCGGTTCTCAAAATATGTATTCCAATCATTTTTCCCTTATTCTGCTTCGCAGGCCTGCACTTGCCTGCGCTTGCTAAATTGACATCGATAAACAAACTCTAGTGTGCGACATTGCATGTACTAAAAGAGTGTACGTGGCTTCGGGGGGTCTACCAATCCCGAATAATTGATTAGTTGTTACATCCTAGGCGCAACCATTGACACATTCTTGGCCGAATAAGTGACGAGTCTTATGCAAAATCCTCTCCAAAGTGATTATCTACACAAAACGGACTAAATATCACATTTAACTGGAAAAAATAAGGAATGGCTCTGTTTTTTTCTCTCCACCCCCATGAGGCCCACCCCGCCCGGAACATCTCTGAACTACGGCAGAAATATTCTACGGATTGGCTCACGACCAAACAACATTCAATAAATCATTACTCTAATCTTGCTTTCAAATATCGCCAATCTTTCTTTGCCTTTTTCTGAGGGTAAACACTTAATAAAAACCTTAACCCCATCAGGACATAGCCTTGGTCAAGGCGTTTGTCGAGAGTGCGTAATGGTATATCTAGCCGCTGACAAACACTAGCCGCGCTCTGGTGCAGACCAGTAACTACACTGCCATAGACCTTGGTGGTAATTACGCGCACTTCCCTAAATTATTGAAAATACTCACAACTCTCTGAGGTGTGCGAGATACATATCAACTTAAATTTTATTTCATCTTCTTTCACTTTCTGTTCAATATTTGTTCTACTATTCAATGACTTTTGGGAGAAAATGCCATTCATTCAAAGATAATCTCTCATAAAAGCAGTCCCGAAGTCTATCGCCATTTTGAAAATGGACGCCCTACGCTCCATTGCAAGATAGATCCATTTACGGCTAGGCTCATCCAAATTTCACTCATATACAAGCTTTAAGTCCTCTGCACGACTTCCAGCCGTCTTTTTTACATATCTTCAAGTTCACGGCCCTCCAAATGCTCTAACACGGGCGAATTCGAGGGCATGCAAATCGTGATTTGGCTGGCTTCGGCAATTTTGGACCGATTTACTGGTCTGCACCCTTTAAAGAAGCAAAATTTTACAATTTCACCCTGGACCACATTAAGCAAGAGCATGGATGCATAAATCATATTTCATCCAAAATTTGTACAACAAATAGACTTCAAGTCAGTACAGGCCTGAACATTGTTCAGCGTGTACGCCTTTCTTGCTTACCTACTGCAATGGACTTGACATGTATTTTCCCAGTCACAAATTCCATATTATAATGTTTGCATTATGTTTCTTCCCCGTGGCGTACCCAAAGGGAGGGGGAAACCTCCTAACTAATTCCCAGTGCCCGACACCCCCCACCCCCAAGTTAGGATCCGAAATTTGCCCCTCGCCATCCAGAAAAGTTTCACTGTGAAAAAAGAGCGCCCTCACTGTGTAAACTGCATCATCAAGGAAGCTGCCCTGTTTAATATATATAAAGGGTGCAGGCCAGTAAATACACTGCAATAGACCTTAGTGGTAATTACGCGCACTTCCCAAAATTGTTAAAAATACTCAAAACTCTCTGCGGTGTTCGAGATACATATCAAATTAAAGCTTATTTCATCATCTTTCACTTTCTGTTAAGCTATTGTTCTACTATTCATTGACTTTTGGGAGAAAAATCCATCCAAAGATGATTACCCCTTAAAGCAGTCCTGAAGCCCATCGTCATTTTGAAATTGTACGCCTACGCTCCAGTGCAAAATAGATCAACTTTAGGGCCTAAATTCATCCAAATTTCACACATTATACGAGCTTATCGTCCTCTGCACGGCTTCCATCATTCTTTTTTTTTTACAAATCCTCGAGTTCACGGCCCTCAAAATGCTCTACCACGAAAGAATTTGAGGGCATGCAAATCATGATTTGGCCGGCGTCGGCAATTTTAGACCGATTTACTGGTCTGCACCCTTAAGGATGCGTGAACGGCAACCACACCCAGCTACAATAAGCAAATTAGTTTGTCCTTCACCACCAAACGATGCCAGCTTCCGAGCTAATGTTCCACTCCATATTTAAAAGCTAAATTGAAAAAGTGATAACTTAGCGAGGACGATTATATCCTTTAGTGTCTCATTGAAATTCAGAATTCTTGTATAAATGGTAATAAATGTATCTTTTAGGATGACACACTCACACTTGATTTTTTTTCAGGGTTATTTTTATTGGGGGGGGGCGTCTGTTCATTGTTTGTTTTTACTAGCTGGTCCATGATTTGGTTATATATATTTTCAGTATGTTTATGTACCCCACATTTTACTGTTTACTATTTTTAGTGTTTTCTGTAATTGCAATAAATGAACTGTGCTGGGCACCTCTGGAAAACAGTGTTCCACTGAGAGTTTCTCCAGGGTAAATAAGAAATATATAAATAAAGAAATAAATTCTGACCGACTTTGACTGACTTTGACCTTTCCGTTTAAAATAACCAACTTACAGCATTTTACCATGTTAAGACCGTTGTGTTTCCTTAAACACAGACAATAAATATTATAACTGTAGATGTTTTTTTTTTCCTCAGGAAGCAGTGGTTTGTCGGTATAGATCAATACGAGCACGCTATCATTTCTATCACGTATAGCAACTAGTTCAGACTGTGCAACTAGTGCAACTAGTTCAGATAGGGCAGTTGCTTGGTCCATTGGCCGGCATATAGATGTTTGAGCCGAAGATCACATATAACATTTTAATTCGTGTTAGAATGCGAAAGTGTTTTGTTTGGGAAAAGACAGATGTTATCATGTTCCTCTGACGTGTGAAAATGAGAAACACAGGACTTCCTTTGAATAGACACGCAACGGAAGCCACCTCCATGCACCGAACGCAAAGTCACACCTGCATTGCATGTTACGCTAATCAACGCAGCAAAGCAGTAGTCATTGTCGAGTCCATCCGAAGTCCATCACTAGTAAATCATAAGTCATCTCAAAAATCCTGTCCCAAGTATAAGTGATGTACAATGACCAAAAAAAATGCTTTTGACGCAGTTCGTTTTATTAAATTGCTACTAACTGGACATTATCTGTGGACCTATGATAGACTTGTGAGAAATTGTGAGGACTTGTGATGGGCTCGACGACAACAGTACCTACTGCACCGTTGAAGTCTCCAAAAGCTTAGAACTATAACTTACAGGACAACCAGCGACCTCAGATCCAAGAGACTGCCGTAAGGAATAAACCTGATGAAATTCCCGTCCAGACTCCTGTTCAAGCAAATACAACCATAAAAAAATGTGTACAATAAAACAAAACCTTTTTTTCGGTACTGTACCAAGGACCCAAGGTTGGCGGTTTTTTTCATACTTTTTTTTATTTTTTAAATCAAAATAATCGGATTTGTTTTTATTTGAATCGGATTTATTTGATTAAATCGGATTTTTGTTTTGATATTTGCAAAATATGAATTTGTTTCAAAATGAGTCTACATCTTCCCATACACCCTTACACCGATCAACACGGAATGTTCAGGTTCCTATAATACCCATCATCAACAAAACTCATTTCAGTATTCAGAAATTTCCAGACAAAAACTCCCATGTAACATTGATAAAATGTCTTTGAAAAAAAAAGAATTGTATTGAATCAGTGATTAAAAATATCACTTAATTTTATCTACATACAGTCAATATCAAAGAGTGCATAAATACTGAAGACACTTTAAAGGTGTATGGCTTGATTGATGCATGTGATCGACATAGGTTGTG